CAAATGACACCATGATTCTATTGAAGTATTTTTCTCAATTTAAAGTAAACTTTTACAATTCATTCCATAATTGCGAAACACGCGACAAATGAATAGTTGATATTACGAGTATATTGAAGTATTTTACTCAATTCAAAGCGAACATTTACAATTGATTTCATGATTGAGGAACACGCGACGAATGAATAATTCATAAAAACGGTATTTTGGCATATATTTCTGAGTTCAAAGCAAGCATTTACCATTGATTCCATCGTCGCGGAACACACGACCAATGAATAATTGATATGAGGAGTATATTTAAATATTTTTCTCAAAGTAATACAACCCTTTTCCTCTTGATTGCATAATTGAGAAACACACGTCAAATGGATAATTAATACCAAACTTTTATCGAAATATTTTTCTCGATCCAAAACAAACATCTATAATTGACTTCATGATTGCGGAATACACGACGAATGAATAATCGATAGCAAGAATCGATTAAAATATTTTTCTCAATTCAAAGCAACACTTTTTCACTTGATTGCATTGTTGAGGAACACACGACGGACGGATAGTTGATAGAAAGATTCTATGCAAAAATGTTTCTCTATTCAAAACAAACATTTACAGTTGATTCGATGCTTGGGGAACACACGACGAATGAATAATTGATAATAAGAGTATATTCAAATATTTTTTCTGAATTCAAGGTAGGTCTTTTCCATTTGATTCCTTAGTCGAGGAAGACATGGCGAGTGAATAATTCATATCAAGACTATATTAAAATATTTTTCTCAATTCAATACAACCCTTCTCCACTTGATTGCATAGTTGAGCAACACAAGTCGAAGGAATTATTGATATCAGGACTATATTAAAATATTTTTCTGAATTCAATGCAAACCTTTTCCGCTTGATTGGATAGTTGAAAAACACATGACAAATGAATTATTGATATCAAGAATCGATTAAAATATTTTTCTGAATTCAAAGCAACACTTTTCCACTTGATTGCATTGTTGAGGAACACACGACGGACGGATAGTTGATAGAAAGATTCTATCGAAATATGTTTCTGAATTTAAAGCAATGCTTTTCCAGTTCATTGGATAGTTGAGAAACGCACTATGAATGAATAATTTATATGAAGATTCTATGAAAATATTCTTCTCAATTCGAAGCATACATTTGCAGTGTATTCTATGATCGAGGTAGACACGTCGAATGAATAATTGATAGCAAGAGCATATTGATATATTTTTCTGAATTCAAAGCAAACATCGATAATTGATTGCATTGTTGAGGGATACACGACAAAAGAATAATCGATAATAAGATTTTATTGAAATATGTTTCTCAATCGAAAGGAAATATTCACAATGGATCCCAGAATTAAGGAACACACGACTAATGAATATTTGATATCAAGGTTATATTGAAATATTTTGTCAATTTAAAGCAAACATTTACAAATGATACCATAGTTGAAGAACATACCAGAAATGAATAATTGATACTAAAATTCTGTCGAAAGATTCTGCTGAATTCAAAGCAAAGGTTCGAAGGCGATTTGATGGTGAACGAACACAAGGGAAATGAATGATTCAAACAAAGAACGTATTCAAATTTATTGCTTACTTCGAGAGGGGAAATTTCAAATCGACTATGTAATCACAGATTAGTTGACAAATGAATTATACAAACACTGGTCGCATTCACATATTTTTCTCACATCGAAATAAAGACCAACAGCTAATGGTATAAACCAGAAATATGCAGCCAATGATAATTCGAATGATGGTTGTATTCAAATTCTTTAGAGACTTGGGATAAAGGTTTCGAGTTAATATCATAATGAAAGTTCATATAACAACATAATTCATAAGAAAATTCTGTTCCATTTTTATGGTCACTTGGCAAAGAGCTTCGGCTTATGGCATTATCAAACATCATACATCACATGAATAATGCGAAGCATGCTTTTATTAGAATATTTTTTACTGTAAGAAATAAGAATTAGACTTGACAACGTCGCTGAAAATAACACGTTCAATGAATAATTGTGACTAGGATGTCGCTCCAATATTTTACTCGCTGAGAAGAAAAGATTCAAGCTGATAATATACTGAAGATCAAACACCCACTGAATAATGGTAACCAGGATCTATATCAAGTATTATGTTCGCTAAGAGAAAAAGATTAGACTTGACCATATGATCAAAGATTATATATCGAATGAATCTTTGTAAGTAGAATTTCTCTCGCATATTCTACTGTCTTCCAAAGAAAAGACGCACATAGCCACATCAAAGATGAATACACAGCAAATGAATAGTTTGAACAAATCCCATATTCGAATATTTTGCTCAGTCCGAAGTAAACATTTGGAACTGATGGATATAATCAACGAAAGCATACCACATGAAAAAATTTCAGCTCCATAACTCTAATCAAATATTTTACTCGGTTTCAAGCAAAAACTAGCAAAGCATTACATGCTCCAGGAACACACGATGAACCCATACCTGATACCAGCAGGAATATTCTATTAAAAATTTCTGCTACGTTCGAAGCAAATATTCGCAGTATATTACAAGATTACTGAATGTATAACACATGAATAATTCATAACACAACTAGAAGCAAGGTAATTATCAAATACTTCGCTCTCCATAAAGCCCATTTCGACCAGTATTTAAATATATGCTGCCCATATGACAACTGAATACTTCTAAGGACGATATTCTTCAAATACATTCTTAGCTATACAACGAATCTTATGAAATAGTAATATGAACGCAAGTCATATTGTAAATGAACAGTTTGAAGGATGGTATTTATCAAATACTATTTTCAGTGTAAAGTCAAACGCATGAGATACAGATATGGATGCCGATGACGTTGTAATTCAATAGTTCATAGCAAGATTGTTTTCAAATATATACATCAAATTGATAAGAAGACTTGAAGTTAATTATACGATAGACGAATATGTAAGAAATGAATAAGTCATATTACGTTTCAATTCAAATATTTTGTCCCCTCGGAGAAAATAATTTAAAATTCCATATAGGGTCATTGCATATACAACAAATGGATAATTGAAACAAAACGTAGTTTCAGATATTCAGGATAGTTTAAAACCAGATTCTTGAAGAACTGATACAGTTGGAAATTACATTCCATATGAATAGTTTTAATGATGATAATTATCAAATATTTTCCGTAATGTGAAGATAGTCTCAACAGACGAGGATATGTATGCCGATCATATCTGAGATGAATGATCCTGATCACGAGAATTTCCAAATACTTTCAACATTTCGAAACTAATATCGCAAAGTAGTGTTATGGACGACGATGAGGTCGACATGAAACAGTGCTGAACAGCTTCGTTGTAATTCTTAAATGCGGTATTAAGACAAAGCATTGTTTCGAATATTCTTCACAGTTTAAAGTCAACTTTTAGACGTACTGATATACAATGAGATGACATAAAAAAATGAATAGTTTTCATCATGGTAAGTGTCAAATACTTTCCTTACTGTGAAGTCAAGCTCAAGAGATAGTAAGGTGGAGGTTGATCACATTCTAAACGAATAATTTTGAGCAGGGTAATTGTCTAATATTTGCTTCACCATGAAGTCTTTTGGGAGAGGTACTGTTATGAACCACAATTACATCGAAAATGAATGCTTCTGAGTAGAATAGTTTTCAAATATTTTCCTCTCTATGCAGCCAATCTCGTGAGTTACTGATTTGGATGTGGATTACATTGTGAATGAACACTCCTAACACGATTCAGACGAACCTTTTTTCATCAAATAATTGAGACGATCAATTGCAGAAGGACGTCGAACTGCACTGCATTGTGGTACATACAATGCTGCGATGAAAACCACGACACAGAAAACCATTTTATCCATGCTGTTGATTGTAATTTGGTTTGGTTGGAGGATGAAGGAGAATATTGGACGAATAAATGTGTGTGAATGATAGGGATTTACTTCGGCTTTATATACGATAGTCGGCAAGCAAAAAACAAACCATGAAAAAAGTTATTTTTCGTAGTCAGAGAGAGACAGATAGGGATGATTAGCTTTGACCTCGTATACTTCGACGGAGAGAGAAGCATTTTTTTTATATGTATAGGTGGATATAAGCATAGACATATTATTTTTTAACTCGCATACATTGACGGAAAGAGAAGCATTTTTTTTAATACGTATAGGTGAATACAAGCATACGCACTTTATTTTTTTAGCTCGCATACATTGACGGAGAGAGAGGCATTTTTTGTATACGTATAGGTGAATACAAGCATACGCACTTTATTTTTTAGCTCGTATGCATTGACGGAGAGAGAAGCATTTTTTTAATACGTATAGGTGAATACAAGCATACGCACTTTATTTATTTAACTCGTGTACATTGTTAGAGAGAGAGAAGCATTTTTTTATATGTATAGGTGAATACAAGCATGCGCACTTTATTTCTTAGCTCGTGTACAATGACGACGCAGAATTGTTAAGATACGAAGAAAAAAGGCAATGATGCGTGACTATACAACACACAGACACACGCACATGTTTGCCTATTTTTTTGTTATTGTATAAAAGTACAATATATATGATAAAAATATGTATTAGATATTTATTTGATTGTACGAATTTTTCATGTATTAAAACACATTCTATATAGATTTTCAAAAAGTAATTTAACAAATGACATCATATTTTTATTATTAATCAGATAAATAATGATAATTTCAAAATACAATGTGGAATAAACTATGTATTTGCAGTACAGAGAGAAGCCTAAACATTTATATTATGAAAAAAGAATTTAAAAAAAGCTTTGATATCGTTTATTCTTGACCATAGAAATCAACCATGTTTGTTTCTCATCATTCATAAAAAGTGAATCTCACTTGTGATAACATTTATTTATTAACATTAAATATAACGGATGTGTTTAAGTTTTTCTTTGATGAATTACATTCTGAAAAATAATTACAAAACAATCGAGAATTCAATCAATAATATAGTAGTTGAATACAATATTTTGTATGAATTACGACAAAATTTTGAAGCATGATATTGTGTAATATCTTGAAATTCTCCTAGTTTGTCTTGTTGATGAAGTGTAGTAGATAATCGACTTGCTTGAACAGCTACTAAATTATCACCTACATCTAAAAGATAATAATATATATTGATAATTCTTATTTCAAAACAAATAAATACTTACCATTCATAGCAGGTTGAAAAACAGTAAAATCAAGTATAAGACTACCTACACTATTTAAAAAAAACAAATACAAAAACGATTAAGTCGAATCTTATATATTATTATTATTTACCTTGAAATAAGCACTGCAGCAGCAACGGATGATTTTTAAATATTGTGTTATTTTTTATAGTAGAATAATTTTTTTCTACAAATCATTTAAAATACTATCCATGTATAAGTACATCTTTAACATATTCATTCCCAAAAGAGATAATAATCCAAATTGGTGTTAAGATTAAAAAAATAATTGCAGTCATTATAGGTTACCATGTATAATTATCTAAGTAACGTATGATTTATTATATAAATTTAGCATTTACAAATATTCTTACCAATAATTGTAAATAAAACCCCACCGATACTAGCTAAAATACCAAGTGTTGTTAAATCACCGAGCAAAGTAGCAATTGATTTTATGTTTATGCGAAATGACAATAACAAAAATCATGATTTCACTTTAAGAAATAAACAATTAATTATATAAGAGAGAGAGAACTTCGCAAAATAACGAAGAAATAGATATAAAATATTAAAATATTTTTTCAACACATTTATTTATCATTTCATTACTAAATATCAACAAGAATTATGTATTGATAGATATCGTAATTTTTTTATATTCTTTAAAGTGTATTGACGATACTATCTCTATCATCTTTTAGAATAGATTGTTTATTTGATCCTATACGCAACAAAACGTGAAATATTAATAAACAAAACAAGTGTATGTCGTAAGTTAAAATGTCCTTGAGATACCCATCCCATAGCAAGTGATAGAAGAGCAGCAATAAAACCAATAACATAGTTGGTAATTGTGTTAAAATTATATTTTCAATATTAGCCAAAAATCATAGAAGTCTATATTGAGTGTTTTTGAAATAAATTTTTAATTACACACTTGTGTAGATAAACGTGATGCTAATGTCATTTCTAAATTTCCTTTTAAACCAAGTAAAACTGGAACAAGTATATAAATTTCAGTTATTTTTCTAAATACATTTAATTCCTAAATAGAAACACTATAAAAAAACATAGGGTTATAATATTAATCAATACCTTAACACGTCCAAGAACTAATCCACCAGCAACCATACCAAATTCTACTATCATAAAATGAATAAAAACTTGATATGCTACAATCTATCATTTTTCTTCATTGTTATCAAATATAGTTGATAATGTTGTTTTGTTATATCGTGAACGATTTTCTATAATACAAAAAAACTAAAATATCATTTGCATTGACTATTGTTTGATAGATCAATTGATTCTACTAAAATAATTAAAACGAAATATATATGAAACTGAACAAAATATTAAATTTTTTTTCGTACCATTTTCTTCTAGTGAACTGACCATAGTTTGTCCTTTGAGTAAAAACTATTGCTAATGTTGATTATCAGCTTCTTCCATCATCAGTACAAAAATAAATAAAACAACTATCTATTGTATATCTATCGATATTATGTATGAGAAACTCACTATAGATGTCACTTTTTATCAGATCTTTATTATCCGAATCGTCTACTTAAACAAATTTTAGTTATTTGTTTTTTTTCTTTTCTATCAAGAAATGAATATTACTTCCAGATTTATTTAACAATTTTACTCTTCTTTAATAAAGGTTTCATTATCGTTTTTGATTGGTTACTTATTTGATTTCTTTATTTCACTTTTGTTCAATCATTTATTTAGTTCAATTATCTTGAACTTGAAGATTTTGTCTATATTTTCAATTGCAATCTTCTTTTTTTTTAATCATGTCGAGTACGCCCGGTCGTAGTCCTGGTTGTTGTCGTGGTTATACAAGTGAACAAAAATCTTTACGCGCTAAACTGGATTATATTATTAAATGGGGACGTGATTTAAAAAGTAATATTATGAAACAATCATGTAAAGCTTTACAAACAACAAATACTAATACACGTGAAATAATCGATCAAATTCATGATGATTTAGATGATTATAAACGTAAATTAGATCGTGAACTTGGTCTTATACATGATATATGTGATGCATTAACAATTAGTAGTCAAGTAACAAATGGTGACGAAGAAAATCTTCATGATGAAATACTTGCAGCATTACGTCGTTCACCAACTTATACATCACTTGAACAACACATATATGATGATAAACGACCACGTATTCGTGTAAAACCACGCGAAAGAATTCATCCTATATTATGCAATCATATAAAATATCTAATATTATGTAGTGTTATATAGAATATGAATTAAAGAAATTATTTATTTGTAATTTTTACAGGCTTCAACTGCACCATCATCATCATCACAACCACAACGAAATAATGACGATGATAATAGTCAAATAATTGATGATAGCGATGATGAAATTATTGCTTTAAGCGATGAAGATGTTCCTAGTCGACCGAATAATGCATCGAAAAAAGTTATATGGACTTCATCAGATATTCAAATTACAGGTGGTAATTCTCAGTCACAATCAATGCATAATCCTTATCGTATTGGTATTGCTGATCCAAGTATCCGTTCAATATTTTTACCTCCACCAAATTCTCAATCAATGTCAAACTCAAGTGGAGGAAGTAAACGATCACAACCTACTAACAGAAAACGAACGACTGGTGCCAAATAAACCTATAATTATAATACTTATTATTTTGTAATTACTCTGCATAATCAAAATATTTAAAAGCTTAGTTTTCTTTTTCCTTTTTTTTTGTAAAACAAGTTATTCTTGTCAAGTCTATTAACTTTTCTTGTTTTTTTTTTGACGAATAGAATCTGTGAGTTAGTCTTTAGTGTCTAAAGAATATGAAAATAAATTATGGCAACAGATACGGAAGAATTTATTTACTATTTATGTTTCGTAATAATTATTAAACAATATCGTCTGCATGTATGAAAATTTGATTTCTTAATGAAATTGATTGAAGGTAATTATTAATATTTTTAGCAATACAGCTATGTGGAGTAATGTGAGAAGTCATCGATTGAAAACAAAATGACATTTCATTGAATACTTCAAATATTAATGTATCAAACAATGCTTGAAATAATAAAAAACAAATTTAATAGAGAGATAATTCATGAAAGGTCTCATAGAGCGTTATTAAAAAGCTTCTCCTCACTTTATACTACTATGGATGTACTTTAAATGATGAACAGGCGTACATCTCAGCAGTAAGAGCATATAATCCGGAAATAGCCTACGCTTTCATCCTTTATAATATAGTAAATTTCAAACGCAATAGAATATCTTTTTCTTTCATTTCTTCTATAGGATGCATGTCTATTAGGTAGTTTTAGTATATTATTTTGGATAGAAAACAACCTTTGAGTAACTATGAATTTGAGCGATATTGATGTTGTATTTATCAATGAGAATATATAGAAAACGTGATTTTTTAATCTGTTTCAAGTCATTTGATAATAATCTTCTTTTTTTATAGTCTAAGAGGAAACTCAAGAATTTAATTGACACACATTTCATTTGTAGCAAAGTTTAGTACTAAATGTAAAACTTAAGGCGCTTATCGTATTTACTTCTATATGAATTTTTCTGATGAAGTTCAGTCACTATTTCATATATAACATCAGAATAAGAACTTTTAAAAACAGACTTCATTACTAGAAAAATTCTGTTGTCTGGAACGAGTCATATTTAAATTCGTAATGTTTTTATCTATTTTTAATTGACAACGTAATGATGATATAACATTATATATTTTTCTGCAAAAGTCATGCAACGATCTTTCTAGTAGGAACACATCAGTTTAATTCGTTAACTATCAACAAGCATCAAATTTTAATTTTTCCGCCACTGTTCTTTCAACTTTTATTATAGTTCTGATGTCTTTATAAGTTTTTTTTTGAAGTGTAAAGTCAAAGCAATATTTAGCTCTTACAGATAATCACATCATTTTTATATGTAGAGTAAAGTAGAGAATACGTTAACCATTCTTTTTCTGTTTTTTACATTTTATCAAGTTTAAGTTCTGATTATGACAGGTAAGCAAAAGACAGAAAAACTTATATCTTATTATTTCCATGATTCATTAACAGTTGCCAAATGCATCATAAACAATCATCTCTTGAAATTCTCAATCTTTAAATCATATCTGTAAAGTATTGATATTAAATAAATTGATCGTAAGTATGATAAACAAATATCTGCGATCTCTTTCATTATTATATTCGATTGAATTATATATTAATTTCGAAATTGTTTAATATTTAGTTTAGTGGAGTAACCAGAATTTTACTAGTAGTGGAACGAAAAAGGCCCGGTAGTTGGGATTACGTATAGAAAAGATTCATGGCTTCCGTAACTGGTAGAAACAAGACTTAACACAAAAGTTGACCCTTTATATTTGACATCGTTGTTTTCCATGTAGGACAAAAAAGTTAAGTTTTAAGTCATATAGTTTAAAAACATTAATTTTGCAGCTGTAATAAATAAATGATAAAAGACGTCTGCTTAAAATAATCTTATTAAGTATATGTCTATTTTTGCATAATATACGTTATCAAAGTGCGTTTTTCAATAATAGTAATTTTATTATTATCAATTAGTTATGGAAGAAAAACTAATTTATATATATTTAATGCATGATAGAAACAAAAATGTAATACATTAAATCCTATTTTTTTCCTTCTAGAAAAATGTCGAATATAAATATTAGTTTAAATCTTAATATTTCTTCAACATCTTCTCAAGATATTATACCACCAATTCTAAAATTTTGGTTATATTTAATTTTTCATATTCCATCATTTTTTTGTACATTATTTGTACTTTATCATCTTCTTTTTGATCGAACACTTCGCCGGTCTCTTAATAATCATGTTATTATTGTTTTACTATTTACCGTACTTTTTTGTGAAGTAACAAATTATCCATGGATGCTTTACTATTATTATCATACTACTTGGCAAAAACCATATGTTTTTTGTGTGGTTTGGGGTTTTATTGATTGGGCAGTTTATATGTTACAATTACTACTTTTTGCTTGGGCATCAATTGAAAGACATATTCTTATTTTTCATGATCAATGGGTATCAACAAAACGGAAACGTTTTTGGATACATTATTTTCCTTTAATTTTTATTCTTCTTTATTGGTTTATATTCTATACATTTGTTTATTTTTATCCAACATGTCAAAATCAATATGATAGTACAAATATGATCTGTATGGATGCTTGTTTATTTGACATATTTTCATTTCGTGCATTTGAAACATTTGTTAATAATATAATTCCTAGTTTAACTATTGTTATCTCTAGTGTTCTTTTACTTCTACGAGTTTTTAGACAAAAATATCGTATGTGTCAACAAATACAATGGCGAAAACATCGGAAAATGACAATTCAATTATTATGGATTGCAGTTCTCTATCTTCTTATTACTTCTCCATGGGCAATCATTATTTTCTTACGTTTATGTGGTTTACCGCCTAATATTGGTGCTGGTTTTGAAAATATTGCCGTCTTTCTTAGTTATTATATAGTACTTCTTTTTCCATTTGTTTCTCTTCTATCATTACCTGAACTTTATAATAAATTAAAGAAAATTTGCCATCGACAACCACGACAAAAGCGTATTAAACGTGAACCAATACCTGCAAGAAATAATCAAGTTACTCCATTATAGAATCAATTATTTTATTTATTGACTACAAATAGGATTTTGTGTTGTTTACGTACATAACAAAAAAATGAATGTGTTTTTGTTTCTTAATAAAACAATTATTTTAACTTAAATAAGTTTTTGATTGGTAGTCATAACGCAAAAAATATATATAGATTGTCATGGTAATGTCGTCTTATAAAATATTTTATATTAATTAATTACTATCTAATAAATATTGCATTTTAAAGGTCATGAAAACTTGTAGAGATTTAAATAATTTTGTTTTCTTAATGATGAAATGCTTGTATGACATAATTCTAATTTATATATTAAATTAATTAGTTTAATGGAGTAGAATTACGTTTTAAGAATATTAACAAATAAATACAAATTATTTATATATAAGCATTTGTTTTATAATCGACTGTATATATAAAATATGAGAAAGATAAGGATTTATGTTAAGTGAGATATCATTTAGTTGTAATTTATATTATATTAGGGCTATTGCTAAAGAAATGATTATAAACTATCGAAAATAATTAAATTGAATTAACGTATTTTTGATTTATAGAGTTGATGATAATTCATTAGATTGTCTATACAAAGAATATAGAATCTATAGCTCTTTCGTAAGAACTATAGGGTGATCGGGCACAACATCGCAGGCGTATGGCTCAGTGAGGGTGCATCGAATATCCACATCCCACGTACATACACTGTCTAACATCAAAGGTTTACTAGGAATTCGTTTTGAATCCTAAAATGAGCTGCGACGTTCTGTCCTAGCGCCAACGGTAAAGGAATTTCAAGTGGTGATTGAATAAAGAATTATTGTTTAATATCATAAACAGATTAGTATTGCTTGTTTAATTATCAAGAGCAAAAACTAATTTATAAAAAGAAAGATCTGTGTTTTTGCGAGATTAAGAGTAATAAAATTATTTGTTTGATTTTTTTAACGTTTTGCAATTGTAGATAGCACAGGTCCAGCTAATGAAACTAAAGTCATAGGAAATGAGATTGTTCCTGTAACTTTATCAATAACTGCTTTAACTGCAGGCGTAGCCATGTGTTGATTTTTTCCACCTTGTTTTAAAGATCGATAAATTTCTTCTTCTTTTTTATTTAATCCAAATGATGATGCACCATAACCTAGATCATCAAGTACTTCAAATGCATGATAACCAATTGTTGCAAATAGAGACATTTGATTTTTATATAAATCAATTAATTTTTGTTCTCGATCATTTCCACGACATGTTTTTATAATAATTAATTGTCGAAGAAGAGCAAGATTCATAACAGAAAATGTTGCCGATGTACCTGTATCACCCAATTCATCAAGACATGAATTAACTGGAACAATATAAGATATATTAGGTTTACATTCAAGTGCACGATAAAGTGGAATTGGTGGTGTAATAGGTGCTGTTGCATTAGCTGGAAGAGGATGAGGTAAACGACGAGAAGCAAAACAACCACCACCTAAAAAATTTCTTATATTTTCAATACAAAAAAATCGAATTTAAATATACCTGAAGCAGGTGCTATAATTTCAACTTGTTTATTATTTGTACTTATATTTCTTGGTTTAGATGATGGATAAATTCCTACAGCATGACCACCTAATAACTCAATAGCTTCATCGACAATCGCAATTTGTTCACGTCGTGGTAAAAATGGCCATCGAGTAATAACATAGAACAGAGCTATACCATGTGATTCAAGTTCTCGAAATAATAATTGCAATACAGGTGTATTCGCTAATGCACCTGCTGTACGACAGAATATCGCAGCTCGTGGAATAATATGTCGATCAAGAAATTTTTCAGTTAGAAATGATCGAGCTTCTGCTTCAGTCCATTGTTCAATACCTAGAATATAAAATCCCATATTCAATCATTATATAGATCTTAATTAAATGACATTTTCTTACCACGAGTATCCCACCATCGTACACCAAATTGATCGGTATAAGCTGTTGTTGTTTGTGTACAAGCATTTAAACCTGCACTAGTTCGTATTTGTTCATCTCCTGAAAGTTCTCGTATTAATGTTGATTTTCCAACACGTGCTGGACCAAAAACAAGTATTTCAAATTCTGAAGAAATTTTCTCTATTGCTTTAGCATCAGCTATGCCTGTGTTGGAATAATTACGTGTTCGAATATCAAGCAGACGTTCACGTAAATAGTTTTGTAATGGTACTTGTTCATGATTATTTGTTTGCAAAAAATCAGAATCTGATTCAGCTATAAGGCAATGTGACGGTATTGAAGAAGCCATTTATTATATAAGAAAGAAACAAAAAAATGCATCTCGTTTTATATAATCGTCTATTATTTCATTCTATTCCTTCTTTTTCTTTTTTTTTCTTTTTATTCTACATCTTTCTCGTTTATTAACAATTCTTTGATTATTTTTTCTTTCTTTTATTTTAAAATTATTCAATATCTTGTTCACGTTCTCTACCCATTTTAATTTTCAATTTCGGTAGAATACCGGCAAGTTCATTAACTAAATCAAGAAAATCTTGATTTACAATAATTCCAATAAAATCAATAATATGAAGTCCACATGTTGGATGTTTAATTAATGGACGTAATACAGCATAGCAACCACTAGATTCTAATGGATTTCCACTTAATGATAAAATTTTTAATGTTTCATTCTTTGCTAAACCTTTACCAATATATGTCGCACATTCAGTATTAAATTTATTATGTTCGAAATAAATTTTTTCAATAATAGCATTTTTTTTCAATAAATCATTGAGTGCTTTAGCAGCAAATAGAGCACCACCATTCCATGATAGATCAAGTGTTGTTAAACGTGCATTTGTACCAAGTTGTTTTAAAAGATTACCACATGCTTTTGAACTAAGACGATTCCAAGCAAGATGAAGTTCTTGTAACATTTGATTTTCAACTAATGATTGACCAAAGAGTTTACCAGTTGAATCATCTTCAAAGAAATTTTTATTTAAATTTATATATGTTAAACATTCATTTTGAGAGAAAACATCAGCAAATAATTTTGCACAGTCATCATTAAAACGATTACCATCCAAATAAAGTATACGAATTGAACGATTTGAACAAAGTACTTTACATATAGCTTTACAACCTAGAAAGATAAATTCATATGAAAAGTAAAGATTTAGAATTATTTATAGTAATGAGTGGGTGTGGGTGGATAGGTGCATCTTATTTATCTTACCCACATCCACCCTTAGAAAACAAGAGGACTAATAATTTAATTGTAATTTGAAAAGAAAAAACAATATTCGTACCATGTATACCAATATCATTATTTCCAAGATTTAATTCATCAATATATCCATTTTCTTTAATTAAATGTGTTATATAAATCGCACCTTTTGAACCTAAACAATTATCTCGTAGATCAAGTTTTGTTATAGTTGAATTTATTTTTAATGGTGCTACCATAACTTTAATATTGACTGGTTTTAAACCACAATAACGTATTGTTAAATTATCATTTTGAATACTTCGTAAAAAACTAGTTGATGGTATAACACCATAACGACGGCATTGCTCTACATAAACACCTTTACATGTATGATCACGCGGTAATTCTTGTTCTTGGTCAATATCTGTATCATAATTTGTTTCATCTAATATATTTGAAGTTTTCTTTTCTGCTATAAGTTCATTGAGATTTTCTTCCGAATTTTCATCATCTATATCATCTTCTATATCTTGAGTAATATATGTACTTGCATTTGAATCTGAACGTTCACGTGAAAAACTTCGTACTAATGCACTTGAATTACGAGCTAATCGTTTTGGTTTAGCATCAGCAGTTAAAATTAAACGCGTTTGTTTGTCAAATAATTCTGGTCTTTCGAAAAGATTACGTGTTGTCATGATTTCACTTTTGCTCTTTTTTAAATGTTCGACACTTCTCTTATTGTTAACTGTTCTTATGCACACACACAAATATACAACGTTTGAAAAAAGAAAAAGATACGAAATTCTATAGATGTGAAGAAGAAGAAAAAAGAAAGTAACTCGTAAGTTATTCAAAGAACAACAACACATCAATGAAGTTAAAATACTTCGAAACGTGTGTGCCTTAAAACGAGCAATCATATGCATATAAACAGTACGAAGGAAACAATAACAAAAGAACATATGTCTTCAATTAATACTATTTAACAAAAAAGTAAAATGCACGTGAAATAATCATGAACGATTTGCTATCGTAAAGATTGACACATAATTTAGTTATAAAAATAAACTAATGAATATTTTGAATTATGATTATCGATTTTATAAATCTGTCAATAGAATTTCTTTTCATTTTTTTATTATGCAAAATAATACTTCAAGAATAGATGTGTTTATTCTGAAATAATTTTTAATGAAATTCAAATCAATGAATAAAATTAAGTTTAGTCTATAAATATTATAATTCATCAAGTCCTCATATACATTATTAACGTATATGATGGATTTTCATTTACTCCAATGTCTGATAATATGAAGCGATTATCGAATTTTAACTTAAAAATATTCGTTAATGATGTTTTTCTCGTAGTAACAATCAGTTTTTGATGTTTTACACTATAAAAATATAAAAATTGGGCTAGTAAAGTTTTACATACACATTTTTTAAATGGAGTTTGTCTCATCAGATCTGCTATAAACCAATAATACAATGTTCATTTGAATAGAAGAAAATAATTTGATTATACTTTTATAATAAAGGGATTTAACTCTTTCCGGTTGGCTATTTCGAAAATGCCGTACCGCTCCCTATAGGGCAATATGCATCCAAATAGATACACCCGGCTAAAAAGGGTTAATTACAAAAAGTAATCATGACAATTTTGCGTAAGTATAATACGCATTTATGTTAAATTTCACTTTATCTCCAATCATATCATGTGTTATTTTATTTTTTTTTCGCAGTGTCACATCTGATTACAATCTATTGAATAAATGTACTTGAAGCAGGAGGAATAGCAATTTCTAATTAACTGCTTGTTTTTTTAAATAGTTGAAAGAAAAAGTACAAGGTTAAAAGGCTTGATTTGAATTTTAAAAACATGCTGAAGAGAATCAAGATATTGAAAAGCAAATCTCAACAAGAGTTTTAAATAGAAAATAAAATGTTCCTTTTAACAAAGATCGATGTACTCTCATTTCCTCTAAGAATGATTGTCTTTTTCTATTCCATTTAATCAAAACGTACTTGTTGTTTTTTATTTTTCCGGCAGATATCAGGCTCGTTCTTTAATACAAAAAAAACATTTTAATTATTGTTTACACTTTTTTAGATTATAGCAAAATTTTATTGTAAATTAACGTGATAATAAATCATAGAATAATATTTCATATAAAAATATAATTTTCAAGTGTCATAATGATTATTTCATGACTAGATCAAGAAATTTGATAATATTAACGAGGCGTATATTTTTTTTCTTCTACTTATCATGACAGAACAGACAAAATAATCGTCATACTTTATAATATCGTTCTTTGAGCTTACTACGTTTCTTCAAGTAATCATAAGACAAAATGCACGTGGTTTACATGTATTGATAAGAAAAATATACACTTGTAAATATATATATATATATATTATTTGTAAATTTCTATTTATTTATGTCTCATCAGAAAATGTTGGATATTTTATTTTAATTTACAAAATTCAACGAAGAAAGAAAGAAAACAAAAAACGACACATCATTTGTCTTACATTTATTTATTTGAAAAAGAAAAAAAAAGAAAAACTTTACTTCGTGGTGATCGGTAGTGATGTATTTACTGTATGTAATTTGTATTTGATTTCAGTTGAAATTGTTGGATGCTGCAATCGTTTGATAACGAGTTTTAATGGTGCTTTTTTAACAATTATAGTCGATGATGATGATGAAGAAGTAGGTTGTGATGGAAAGAGAATAAGAGACGATGAAGAACATTTTTGTTTACAATTGGATAATTCTTCCAACATGTGGTTATCTTTAGATGATTCTATTTCCTCATCGTCTTTTTGTTCATCTTCATCATCTGTTTCCCATAGGCTATTATCATCGTCATTAAATAATGGCTAAAAATAAAAAATAAAAATATGATAGTTTTTTTTTATTCTCAGAGGATCTTTTATGTCATTAAAGCACGGCTCACATTTTTAATCATAATTACACAAGTATTAAATAGCATCAATTAAGAAGATTTCACAATTCAATAGATTAGACTAAGTTCAAACGTACATTTTCTTTTATTCTTCTTATGATGTGCTAATCTTATTATTCGATACGCTTGAAAGTATTTATTATATTATATTACCTTAGCAGCTTCAATGTAACGTCGTTTAATAATATTGATATCAAATGTTGAATTATTGAAGGAAATATCAATTTTTAATTGTTTAAGTTCATCTAAACCTCGTTGAATATAATCTAATTTATTTTTCATTTCATTTAAATCATCGACATGTATCTGTTTTTGTTTTAAAACTTTATTTAATTGTTTTATTAAATTATCTTTTAATTGCTTTTCTTTTTTATGTTTGTATATATCAAATTCCATATGTGATTTTAAATATAAAATTTGAATTTCTTGTTTTTTGTCAGCATACATTTTATTAATTAAATTTATTTGTTGTTCATACCATTCGTCCAATTGTTTAAATAAATATTCACGATGATTTGTAGAATCAAATATTAAATTATCAAGATCTAAATGCATACCATCAATACTATCACATAAACTATATAAATCACAACGAAGTAAATCTTGATGATAATTCAAATGTTTCAGACACAGCTGTAATTGACAATGTGGACATGATATGTAATCATTAGATGTACATTGATTTCCATAAGTATCTGAATGTTGACAAAGATTTCGAGCTGAAGCCATTATGATAATATTGTTTAGAGAAAATAAAAAATTGTCATTGAATATAAAATAAAGTTAGTCAGTGAGTATTGTAGGACAAAAGGAAAGCAGAGAACGAAAGGAAAAAGCTATTAGAAGAAAGAAAAAAAAAAAAGAAAAAAAAACGTCTGCAGGCGTTAAAAGAATATCAGTGACAAAATGTTTTTTTAATAGACAAATTTTAAGTAACATTTAAACGAATATATTATAAAAAGATCATAGTAACCATGTTCTTGAAAAAATTTTATTCTTATTTAAATAAAAATGAATTTTCAAGTTGATGACTTTAGTTATAGATATTAATAACAACGGATGATTTTACTTACATAATTTATTGAATATAAAATGAAAGAACATTCAATAGATAACTTATCTCTACTTATCAAATACTGCTTATCGAATTTTAAGGTTATTCTTCTAGATAATATGCTAGGATTTTCGAGAATAAAAAATTAAACTATGTACTATAGTCGATCAATACTATAATTATAGTCTTTTTCTTTAGTTTAAGACTCTGTAAATTATATACTTTTACTAATGTTAACAGTCTATACTTCACAATTACTTTGTAACCATGTGCATTAGATTTTATTGACTCATTGATAAAAGAAACAAATAAATAAATACTTGTTTTGTTACGTAAAAAATGTTATGTGTCAGCATGCTGGATGTTTCGAGATATTTCAATTTCATAAAATGATTCATTTTGTTCTTCAATAATTACATTTCTTTAGTTTTCTTTTTGTATATTAACAAATTTTGTAATACAAAAACAAACAGTTGCATTGAGTGAAAAACAAATAATGACATATCCAGGTAATCCTTGACATAAAGGTAACTGTACTACGAATAATATACAGTTATACTTGTTTTTTTTTATTGCAACTAAATATAAAATTTTATTTAATGGTTCATTAGCGCTTACGAGTATGATTATAAATTCAAGTGATGTAAGTATAATATCTTTTTATTAAAAAAAGAAATTATATTTTCATATGAAAATGAAGAATATACAATCGACTTTTGTTTTTTTTCAAGGAATTAGGTAAATACATGCATTACATACACATTTTGAAAACGATCGTAATTTCAACATGTGTTCTGAATTTTGTAATCGTTATAATTGATAAAAGCATGTAGCTTCTGTTGAAGACAATAGAACATATATATCAAACTGATATATATCGTATTTCATTTATATTGAGAGATGAATGGGTTAAATAAAGCGATTCGTATACAATCAGAGTGTGAGTTAAAAATAATTAACCAGGAAACTTCTATTCAATGAAAGGTATATTCATTATGTCGATCTCATATCATAGTCAAATGTTTCGTAGACTGTACTACAAAATATGATACGTATGATGTATTATAGTTACAAAGGTGAATATGTAGTTTTTTCTATGCTATATATGAATCAAGGAAATCGCCAAAGATTTCATTCAGGAGACTTTATGAGTTTATATCCATATTTCAATTAACAAATTCTATAGATTCGAATTTTCTTCTTAATACAATAAAAAATTAGTAAAATGTATTATTTTATAGTTACTAACTGTTTTAGTAATCATAGTTTGATATTTATGAGTTTATTTGAATCAAAATACTGGTATTGTTTATTAAGAATGTTATTTTATTTCTATTTTGAATATTTAATCGATATACATATATAACTATCTTTCACGAATGATGATTCATATACATATCTGCTTTTGACAATATTCTCTCGAATGATGTGCAATAAAAATATAAGTTTTACTTCTTCTAATCGGTCAATTTAGCAAAGATTTACATACAAAAGTTAATAATCGAGATTGAATTTACATGCTGTGATATTTTTCAATATGTTTACTTACATTTATATCATTAACAGTTCATTTTAGAATGAAAAATATAATTATATTTCGTTTATTTATCGAGCTATTACATATAAAGATATTAATAAATCAAAGTTGATAATTATTCTGTTTCGATTGATACGCCCTCTTTCAACTCTTCTTGGGATATTTATTTTATTATTCTTTCAAATAATCATATAAAATATTGACACACAGACTAAAGGAATTTATAATATAACATAAATCCATCAGACGTATAAACTAAAGATCGATATATATCAATGACGAATCCAGAGAGAGGGATTGTGGGATCCGGTTCTTCCCTGAAAAATATAAATTCCTGAAGGAGACTACGGGCTTATGAAATATTGCAAGTCAAAAAACAGTTTTCCTACACGATAATCCCCTTCCCGGAAAAAAAATTTCTGGGTGCGTGCCTGATATACATGTATTCATATTGGATGGTTTATTCTGCAATTCTTTGTATAAATCTTTTATATGATTGTTTCTAATACTTTACACATTATATCAATATCTATTTCAGCAGTTTATTAATATTGAAAAAAAAACAAAATTTAATAATAGCATTCTGTTCGTATTTTAAGCACATGTATATTCGACTTTGCTGACACCTTCTGAACATGAACCTGCACTCCACGAATATTTCACTTTGCTACCTTTAATAACTTTTCCACAGCCAGTTAATGAATAAGATTCAATCATAGCTTTACATGCTTTTTCACAATTGACCATAGCGGCATCATTACATGAGCATAATTTACATGATGATATATCCCATGAATGAAATGGAAAATGAACTGTATTTGAAACAGCCTTGCATTTACATCTATAATTATTAAATGAGCCTTCTTTTTGTTTTTATTCTATACTCAAAAGTTGATATCTACTCACTCGCGATTAAGTGGATTACCATTAATCATTATTATAGCTCCAAATATAATAAAAAGAAGAAGTTTCATCGTAGAATTTGATAATAACAAAATAATATCGATTCTACCTTGAATACCGTATTTATATACTTCTCAAACGAGATTTTCATTTGATATCAGAAATGATTCTTATACTAATCCGTTGATATGAATAATCGTGATTGTAGTGTATATTAGCAATAAAGAATGACTGTTGACGTTAAAGATTAAGAGATAAATAAAAAAGAAAGAACGTATAGGCAATACACTATAGTATTTTGTGCGATAATAAAATCTACACCAATATATATTAGTTTAGTGATTATCTTTAATAAGAAATAAATCAAATATTTGATTTAAGTTTTTCAATGTATATTCATATTTTTTTACACTCATTGCTCTTAAAAAGTTTATTAAACGTGCTTTCACTGCCATAATTTCATTTATTTCCTTTAAACAGTTTATCTATTTATTCGTGTTTTTGTCAAGAGAAGAGTTTTTATGCCTAGTGCACGATATAATTACATTTATTGATGACAACATATATTTTTTTTCCATATGTTATTGTCATCGGTGAGTTCTTTGGAGCTTTCTTAATTCGTAAAGCCACTTATGTTTAATGAAACTTTCCACTATTCTTCCCTTGAGTGATTATAGATTGTGTTGTAAGAAGAATAAATTTTGTATAGAAATATGTAATGTACCCATTGTAATCTACTTTATGACATTAATTCTTTGTCGATATTGAAATAGTAAAAAAAGATTTTAATCGATTAATGTTAAAAAAAGTAATTACGTCAGATAATTCAAAAAAAAGTCTAAAAATGTCATCGTAGTTTTTAATTACATCTAAGAGTAATGTCAATGATAAATTCTTCATTGTTGTACAGAATGAATTAGATTATCATAATTTGTCTAATGCACTATACTTACTTTCTATAATGGTATTTTACCGTTTTCTTTTCTTATATTGTCATATATGTCAATTAAATTTTTTACTATTTTACTCACAGCTAAATATAAAATAAGATGAATAATATTTTCTCTTCATTCTACCATATATGTAGAAAACCTTCATTTTTTTATTATTCAAATTTGATAGATGCTTTACAAAGACGGAATTCATTTTTTTCAATTATTTATACTAGTGACAGAGACATTCTGTATATTTTTTAGACAATCTTGACAGCAGACGTATATTTATTGAATTATACTTGGTCTTTATTAGTAAACAGGATCTTGTTTTTTCAAATTCATTAACAATAGGCAAAAATATGATTTCTTATTTTATTGTTGAAGTGACAGTTTTCTGACTTTTATTACAAACAAAATTATTCTCTTATCTTCTTATGATGACATTTATGATTTTAAACATATATTGAGTATTCTACGTGACACTCTGTAACAATAATCAGATCAGATAAATAATCAAGATGTCTATCTTATATTCAACTTGAAATTGAACCATGGGTCGCTCTATTGGAACCGAAAGATTGCCATTCAACAAATCTTGTTTAATTTTAGTCATTGTAATTGAATTAGAAAGAGAACTATCACAATATCGGTTTTTGATCAATGTAAATACGCGATTTAAAACTAACGATAATACTATCATGAAAGAATTTTAATTACAATAATGAATAAACAAACATCACGTTAAAATTTTGTTTCACAATATAAATTAGTATTTCCGATAATCACAACTATCATTTAATATACGAAATCATTTCTTATGACATTATTAAATATCATCGAAAAGAATTTTAAATTGCATGTCATATCTCATTTGATTAAAAACAAACTTTCAAGTCACTATAATGAATACAAATCTATTGTTCTTTACATTGAGAATATACATGTTTATGCATGATTATATATTAACGAATCAATTTGACAAAATGATTAAGTTAAGAAGAAAAAAAATCAATTAAATATTATAAATTTTTTATTTCTAAAATATTTTTTTGAATCTAAATGGAATATAATATAAGAACACAAAAGACAAAAAGAGAGCACTCAATATAATGGACGGTAGCAATTGAAATAATAATTTCTAAAACAAAATATTAATCTATCGTTACTTTTTAAGAATTCTAATAATAATAATTACTTTGTTGATGTTGAATAACTGGTTGTTCATTTTGTATTAATTCTAAATGTCTTGTTACAAATACAGATGCTGAACGAAATAATGTATACGCATAATCTTTTTTATCATTTTTAATTATTGATGAACGATTATTATCATTAGATAGCAATGACGCACAATCAATATGATGATGTGATTTTAATTTTTCATGATTAATGAAAACTTTACAATGAATTTGAAATGGAATTGGTTCTTTAAGGATATGATAAAGATGAAATGAAAAATAAAATATCGATAACTGAGAAGTTTGAATAGGAGCATAAATCACAGATGGATCAATTGAACAACTAAAAGCAAAATAAAAAGCTTTCTTTTAGTTTCTTATCCTACAGGAAAAAATTATTTTTTTATATTTTTTTACCCTTGAGAAATCAATTGTTTCGATTGAACATAATTTGTATAGGGAGATATTGCTCGTAAATCACATGAATCAATCGAATATCTTGTTGTTAATAATGATAAATCAACAAGTGTTACATTAATAAGAGAATAAAGTGATACTAAACAACTTTCAGGACAATAATATGAATGAGTAGATAATGTCCATTTAATATTAATTCTTTAGAGAATAAAAAAAACAAAATAATACTAAGACAATATTCTTTATTTTATTTTTTACCTATAAGGTGAAGTATTCTTTTGATCATCATGATACATTTGACCATGACTAGGAAGCATTGGTAATGTATGTCTAATATTTGGAAGTGTTGGTATAGTTGATGTTTGTTGTATTGAACGTATTTGATAGATATTACTAGGACATGTAAAAAAAACGTTCATAATGTTTAGTATAATTCCCATTGTTATGCATATCTTCCCAACGAAGTTTACCAATAATTGAACCATTTGTTAGCATCTATGTAAGAAAAGAGATTCATAACTTCTTCGATCTTATAAGATACCGCAAAATACTACATGATGTTTTTTCTAAACACTACTACTGCTCATATCGATAGCTACCCTTGGGAAATTTCCTAAATCATATAACTGTTGGTTTATACAAAATATGAAAATACGTCAGTGTCGAACATAGAAATTTAATAAGAGATATGTATACTTTATCTAACTATTTGAAAAACTGGTAAGAAATTGATCTCGTCTTCTTTTTATTAACAAGCTTTCTTATTATTTTAATTAGTCAAAAATTCCCCGTTTTCTTTTTCTCTCAAAGTCTTAATCAAACTTGACTTAAAAAGGATTTTCTCTCGTTTAATTTACTACTTTGTTTTAACAACAAACATATATATTTATTCAATACCAATGAACAATTATCGATATGGGTAATAAATTGTACATATGTTTCATTTGACCAAGTTGGTTTACAATTTTTATCACCAAGTAAAATATTATTGGAATTAAAACCATTTAATCTTACTGTTAAAAACAATTGATCACCTGGACAATAAATTTCACTTGGTCTTATAGCTAAAACAAATAAATAATTAAAGAAAAAACGAAATGTAAACCAAAACCTTTCATATCTTTTCGACAATTAATTTCATAATAATCAACAAATGCACTATGTCCTGTTATAGATGAATGATCAGCTAATGAAATATTTGCACGTATACATAAACCAGATTGATCTTTATGCCAATATTCAAATGATCGACATTTTTGATGATCAGTTCTTAAACAACGATCAAAACAATCATAATCTGATATCCAACGATCACTTAAATCATTATAACCTTGTAAAGCTGTATTAAGACGTTTTTCATAGAAACAATCTTAAATAAATTGTAACGATATATGTATATATTCGAAAAAGAAAGAATTTAACTTACCTGTTATGTAATTTAATGTCATAACTTTGGATTTCAATTGGAAAATGATAAATATGAGCATCACCCACAGGCGCCAGCTCATGGTAAATAAACATTTTTATGATAAAATGGCTTCATTTAATATTAGCAGTAACATACTATGACTGCTGTTATTGTTGAATTAATTATGGAAATTTATCTGTAAATGACAACTTTCAAATTACTATTCTGTCTTTTGTCTTTTCTCTTCGAATGAGATATACTATCAATTAATATTAATGTATATATGTAAATATAAGTGGAAAAGATAATGAATTGAGTTTGTCGTGAAAACAGGTTGTTGTTGTCTTGTGCAGATTTTTCAATTAATCTTCTTCTACTTGCTTTCTTTTTTTTTCTCCTTCGAGTAATATATATGTTCGTGCATGCGCAAGAAACAACTCTTTCTCTTTTTTTTTTCATAAAGAAAATCTAATTTTTCTAGTCTGGTGATGAAGTAGAAAATCAACTAACGATGTTCGTCGATGCAATAGCAATTGTCGACACCTTATTCTTTCTCTTTCCATAGAAATACAAAGGCTTAAAAGGTATTTTAACAAGGCGGAGCATTATATATATATATATTTATATGAGTTAAAAAATCACCGACAATCTCTCACTCGTTCACTTTTAATTAAAATAACATCAAATGCAAGAAAAAAAAGGAAAAGTGAACTTTGAAGGCAAAAGAAAGGAAAGCTAGCTTCTCTTCATACTGAATAGCAGTCGTATTGAAATCCTCGAGGGCATAATCAATGTCACATAGTGTTAGATTCGAACTTCGCTTGTCACCACTAAGTGAATTATATTTTAGAACAGACACACACAAAAAAAAAAGAGAAGAATGTATACATATATACATGATTAAGTCTCGTATATAGTTGATGCATTTTTTTGATTTTTCCTCTCTCTTTTTTTTTCATTAAAGATAGATTATTAACTCTCATATGTAATAGTTATGACTGCAAGGGATACGTTTTAATTGTTTTTTGAAACAACAAGACGTAGATATTTCTTAAATGCTCTTTTATAAGAAAAGAAAATTCTTTTATAAAAAAAAAAACACCGGCGAACATTTTAATAGTTTTCATTGATATATAATTAATTTTTTACAATGTAATACTTACTTTATTTATCATGCATATTATTCTCATTAAAAAATACAATGTGTTTATATATCTATATACTGATGAAAGTCTCTATTCTTATCTACTCTATATTCTATCGTTTATTAAATATAATAATATATAGCTTCTTTTTTTTTTTCTTTCTTCTTTTTTTCTCTCTATGTCCATCAGAATAGACAAGAGAATAGAGCAGGATATAAACTATTATGATTGGAATTAGTAGATAAAGTAGACACGCTTATAGATAATGTGTAAAAAAAGATGAGGAAAAAAAGCCACCTATTGCATGTTTATTTTATAGTAGTGAGTAGTATACATCTTGGATTTTTAATACGTTATAATAATGAAATCAAGTCACAAATTATGATGCATCGAAAATAGGAAAAAAAAGTACCGAGAGAAAAGTCAATCAGAGTTGTCGTCTATCCGAGAAATGCTTTTCTTTTAATTCTATTGACAACATTGCATGTATATGAATATTGTCACGCAATGTGTATTCGACAGTATCGATATTAGAAATATATATATATGTAAAGTAAAAAAATGTCCATTGTTCCTATTGAAATGATAAATCTATTTAAGAGATGTATACATATATATATATATATATATCTGATTGGAATCTAATACAAAAGAATCAATTTTTAGTTAATAGAAATTTATGTGAAATAAAGGAAGATGAGATTTTGTATATGTAACATATAAAATAAATAATTAGAAATCTATATTGAATTGGATTGCTCAATCTAATAACTAATTATCTACAACAGAGCAGTTTATTTTGGGTTAATAAATTTTCTACGAAATAGTTATTACTCAATATGTTATTTCATTACATTGATAAAAATTCATTTAATAATGAAGAAAACAATCGATGTGTGAATTTTCATTTCAATTATGATATAATTAGGAAATTATTTGATAAAATATAAGGAAAACGTGTAAATATATGTGCATATTATAAGATCTAATTATAATTTGAATAAAATTAAGTCTCATACAGGCATATACTACGAATATTTGTTTCTATTTTTTTTAATTCCTCAAGGATAAAATTACTCTAAAAAAGAAAAACAAGAAGATAATTCAATTTACATACTTTTTCTTTTATCTATCTTAATATTTCGAAGAATTTTAATTAAAAATGAAGGTTATTTGTGAAACATACCTCTTGGAAAAACCAGAGCTAATTAAAATTTTTTTATTTTAGTGAGAATGGTAATTAGCGCAAGCTTTAAAGCTAAAGTTTTGTTTTGAGATTGAAAAGTGCAATTTACTCAAGCAAGAAGAATATTATAAGATTTAAAAAAGATATTCATTTTAAAATTGTTTCAATATGGCTGATATTCAAGTAGGGAAGAGTTTCTAGCTGAGTTCTTTCATGTTTATCTAGAAAATATCACAATCAGTTATTTTAATCATAGAAGTTACATGGATAGATTTACAACAATGAGTAATATGCTTAAAGAAATATCCATAGTACGCAATAAACGTATAAAAAAGCAGATTTTTAGCAATTTTTGTGTATGTTGATATTCCGGATCAATATTGACTAGATTAGCAGTGCTATTAATTATGTAATAGGTTTTTTTCATAAAAAAGAATCAGAAAGCACGTTTTTTGATAAAAAAACTGATGTATGACATGTATATTTGTTTTTCTGTCTTCAAGTATTTCTTAACTTGTTACTTCACCGAAAAACTGATTAAATGAAAAGTAATAAACAAAGACATAAAAGGTTGTCTACACATTATTTTATCTTTCTTATCTACTTTTTTTTATAACTTGTTTCGGTTTGAAGCAACAGGTAACCAACATCATTTAACAATTTCACTTTTCAACGTATACACTCTGTTTTCATGAGCAGAAATCATAATAATATTAATTTAGGTTCTACTTCTCGCAAGCCTAATGGATCAGAAGAGACCAATGCAGTTCCTCAATCATCAACTGTCCCTAAAGAAAAACGTCAATCGCAAATATCATTATTTGATGCGATAAATCAGATCAAGCAACAACAAAAGGCTTTAATGCGAGATTTACGCAACGATAACACAGAAAAGATGTTGTTGATTCAAATAAATAAATGGGAAAAAGAAACCATTGCATATATCAAGTCAGAAGCTTCAAAAACTAAAAGTCGACTAGAACAAATAATGCAAAACATAAATACGAAATTAAAACAACGTACTGATAAACTATCTCAGGAACTTGATTTCATCTCAAAGCCTGGTAAACATACGGAATCTGGTATTAACCGATGCAAAACATTACTAGAAAAAAATCAATTCGAAATGAGGAAAATACAAGCAATCACAATTGATGCGCCAAGTATATCATCGTTGTCTCTGATTAAAATTGATGAGGGAACTGTAAATACACCATCAGAAAACACAGTTTCCGCAAACGACAATTCGATGAAAACAGGCTCTCATAGTTGTAACAGACAATTACCGGTACCACTAGAAATAACCATACGATTTCGAGAACATCCGTATCCCAGTGTTCTTATCAATGGCACTAAGTCCAATACTAATGAAATATATCAATTATTCGAGAAACTCAGGTATCTGAATCCAATGAATAAAAATGGACCAATGAGTGGTAACTGTGATGCCGAAACTACACAGATGGAAAGATTTCTCTCTCAAACATTTGATTTTAAAAACCGAAGTACTAAGTACATCGTTCAAGGTGTCAAATCCTTTCGATTAGGCAAACCATTAGAAACATTAGATCCACAAGATATAATTTATTTTCCGAACACGACAGAAAAATCGTTTGCCATGACCGTTCAAGAAATTATCGACTGGCAACATTCATATAAAGTCTATGCAGACCAAAATGTCAAAGGTATGAACAGCGACTTTCTTTGCAAAGCTCTTCAAGGACTAAGTGAATCTGGTGAAGAAGCATCTCGTATGAAATTTGTTGTTCGCATTTCACAATGTCCTATTTTGATGGAATTTGATGCTCGTCTTATTACTCGAGAACTAAAAGATCAGTGGCCTTCTCGAATCAAGCTTGTTTCAGTTACTGGGATTGATTTTGCTGGTCGAATACATGATGTTAATGATATTACTACCTATGTTACTAATTGGAAAGATGTTTATGAAATCGATCCAAAAACAGGTTTACCTTTTGTCTATAATGGAAGAGATTTCCAGAGGAAACGTGGAGCTTCTCAAGCTGAACTTCATACAGATCGTCTTCTCACAGACTTAATACGAATGGCGAGACTTCGACTATATGCATGTGATAAAGAAAAAGTACAAATTGTAGTCGAAACTGGTATTGGACTTGGTGTATTTGCTGGAAAAAGTATTGGAATCGATGGAATAGTACGAGCACTCTCGGCAAAAGCTATTCGAACAGTACTTGAACAGGATGGACCAAACTATAAATATATTCGTGGAGTTGTATTTGCTTTACCTATATTTGATAGTGATTTACGAAATGGTCGAAGAGAAGATGTTTATCAAGCATTTGTTGATGAATTTGATAAAAAGAAATATAACGGTTGTATTCCTGTGTTGATTGCTGATCAAGACATGCATCGATTAACAGTTACTATTGCACGTGAAGATTTTAGTGTTTCTGAGCTGAATCCTGCAGATTCACATGGTGTATTTGGTGAATATTGGCAAAATCGTGGACCAGCTGTAGAAGAAAAACTAGCTTTAACTACATTAGGTCTACTTGTTCAACATCATCTCATTAATCCACATGTGCTTGATCTAAATCATTACCATCTTATACAATTATAAACATATATATCCATCTCATATTTAATTATTACTAGTAATAATAGTGATATAATCAATAATATAACTTTGAAATTTTTTGTATTATCAGTTTTGCTGTGATAGACATATTG